TCCTTTATTAATAAAATTTATATAAATAATATAGTTGTAGATGTTTTCATTCTTATTTTTTAAAAGTCAAACTCATAAATAATTTTTTATTATTTTAATTAATATTTTATATATTTTGCAAATGATAAATAATTAAAAAACATAGTGCCACAAAACTGCACTAATCACAAATGAAGCATGAGAACCATATGTAATTAATTTTTTTTATTATTTTAGTTAATATTTTATATATTCTAAAATTAAATTAATAGTAATTAAAATTCTTGACATATAAAAAAAAAAAAAAAAGCCTTAGCTGCTACAGGTTGCCATTTTCTTCATGGGACTTGTGTTCGAGGCTTCAATCAAATTTTTCTTCCTTGTAGTTATACACGTTGGCCGGACCGGATGCAAGCGAGGAGATAAACTCCATGGCCGCAATCACCAATTGGCTGTCAAACGGAGGGCTTCAAGGCCTTCTTCCGGCTCACGTCCGCTCTAATTTAAGCAAGCTCGGACTCGCCGGCCACAGTCGAGGTGGCAAAACAGCTTTCGCTCTGGCCCTTGGAAAAGCGGCAATTGCCACTACCCTGAAATTTTCAGTCATAATAGGCGTAGACCCAGTTGACGGAATGGACAAAGGGAAACAAACCCCTCCTCCAGTCCTCACTTATGTCCCTCATTCCTTCAATCTCGACGCGGCGGTGATGGTCATCGGTTCCGGCCTTGGGGAAGTGAAGAAAAATCCCCTGTTTCCTCCTTGTGCACCCAAGGGAGTGAACCATGAAGATTTCTTTAGAGAATGTCGACCACCTGCTTGTCATTTTGTCGCAAAGGACTATGGTCATCTAGATGTGTTGGATGATGTTACTGAAGGGATAAGAGGGAGAACTAGTTACTGTTTGTGCAAGAATGGGAAGTCAAGAGAGCCGATGAGGAAATTTGTTGGAGGAATTGTTGTTGCTTTCATGAAAGCTTATTTGAATGGAGATGAAAGTGATTTGATTGCTGTAAAAGATGGGGTTGAAACTCCGCCAGTGGAGCTTCAAACTGTTGAATTTCTACCGTGATGCTTATATAATGCCAGTTGTGAGATAGCTATTCAGCGTGGAAGATTAATTGTTAGATTGCCAATGTTACAGAGGTTCATCATGAGCGTTAGAAGAGCTCAATTGAATTCATACGGAGACTTCTGTTTGTTTTTTATAAATGTTGTATACTACTATATAAAATGGTGTCATTGGATTGAATGGTGATGGACAATTATCAAAGTTACTCCCTCATATATTTTGATAAATTTAATTTGACATTTTAATTTTTTTAACATAAATTTTAAATGAAATTTAACATATTATATAAACAATAATTAAAGTTTTTTTTATAATTATTAAATTTTTATTTAAAATTTATATTTAAAAAATAAAAAATTTTGACTAAATTTACTAAAAGTAAACAAAAAGAGCAATTAATTTTATTAAATTAGTACGTTGTACTAGCACAAATTGTGAGGTGATTATTATTATTTTTCTCATCGGAAACAGAGTTGGAATCGGAGATGATCATTGCTAGGTGGTTGTCGGAGTTGATATCTATGAAAGACGTAAAGGGGGGTTGGCAATGAAATTGGTATCCACCACCGAGTAGTTGGATTAAGTAAAAAGTGACTTGTTCCAGTTTAAGTAAGGTTTCGAGTTTGAGATCTTATGCACGCAGCAGTCCTCATTAGAAGACTCACCCACCATTTTCAGGTGCGCGACGCAGGTCGGGTCCAGATTAATCGAGGCGAAGGCCCGGATACCGGACGAGAAACTAAAAAAAAAAAAAAAGAAATTGGTATCCTCTTTTTTTTCTTTTCTTTTTTTTCTTTTTAATGATGATCTTCATGTGCTTTCTGCGTGAAAGAATGAGGGACAATTTAACTCCGAAATCCACGCTATCCAGATTAATTTGTACTTGAGTTGGTTCGGATTTAGAAAACTCTTTTAAAATTTATATTTTTACTTATCAAATTTAAATTTAAATTTTTATTTAAAAAGAATTAAAATTTTTTTACTCAAATTAATAAATTATTAACAACTTATATTTTTTAATTTAAAATTAAATTATATTAGATCACATAAAAAAAATTCTTAATATTTAACTTTTTCATTCATAAAATTTAAATTTAAAATTTTATTTAAAAAAATTAAATTTATCCGCTCCAACCATCATATGATTGATAACTTATGCTATCTTTAATTCTCCTTATTCCTCTTAAAAATGGAAGTAGTGAATACCTAGGGAAGAGAAAACAGGAATACATAATGGTAAGCAGTTTTTGAATTGTTTTTTTATACAGCAAGGTGGCAATTAAGCCTTGATATCAAATATGAAGACTTGATTTTCATCGATTGTTGCTAACCCTTAAAATTGATCGAATTGGGCATGAGGACTTCATTTTGTAGAATGGTTTGGTTAGAATGAAATTGTGAACTACAGAAGAAAATTGAAACTGGAACCGCTCCACGTGTTGAGTAGCTGCAAGTAGTCCTCAACTTCTCATCCATCCTTGTAATGCCATGGCGGTTACCGGACGTCAAATGGTGGTTAGTATAATATTTAGCAGAACAATTGCATACCTGACTGTCTGAAGATTTTGAAGGGGATCCGATTATCACGTCAGTGGTGACAAACCCAGCCAATCGTGAGTGAAAATAGAAAATCCAAATACGAAATCATGGGCACAGACCTAAACAGGAAATCGTGGGCGGAAATTTCCTCTGATCGAGCAATTGTGGGATACCAGAAGCATAAAACGGAACAGCAAAGCTTGGCTTGTAAGTGGGTTAGGGCAGTTTTTAACAGGGGGACACCAGAAGCTTAATATGCTGTTGGAATTTCCCTTTTTCATACAGTTAATAGTGGATAGTAAATCAAAATATAAATAATTGATAATCATTAATATTTAGAATTTAGAATTTTTAATACATGTTTAATTAAGAATTCGTTTGCCATAGCAGATTGGGATAGTAATTAATAATTTTATCTAAATTGTTAAAAATATATACTTAATAAATTTATTTATTTTAAATTATTATAAATTAAATATTTAATAAAATTTTTTATTTAACCATTTGAGATTAACCAACAGCAGATTGGGATAGTAATTAATAATTTTATCTAAATTATTAAAAATAAATATTTAATAAATTTATTTATTTTAAATTATTATAAATTAAGTATTTGATAAAATTTTTTATTTAACAATTTGAACTAATGAATAACGGTTAAAAGACAAAAAATTAACAAATTGTAAAAATTATCATAAATAGCTTTTTATACCAAATTGTTCGTAAATTAAAATTTTTTAATTTTATTAACAGGTTTACCCTTTTTAATTTTTAAATTTTTTACTATAATTTTTAATTACTATTTATGTAATTAGTTTTAACTTTATT